TAACAAAATAGGAGACTAACACCCAAGAATAGCCTAGATAAGTACCAGGAGGATTACTCCATGGCTTTGAGGCTAGCCGCACACGCTAGGGGGAAAAGGCAGCTCAGATAGAGAAGGGAGCACCAAATAAAGAGTGTTGGGAGGTTCCTCTCAGGATGAGAGATGTGTGATGAGAGTAGACTATAGATCGAACATGATTGCTACTCAATATCTCTTTTGCAAACCACAGCACTCAAAAGGAGAGAGATAACAAAAGGCAATGCCCTGCCACAGAGGTGGGGGGGATGGGGGTTGGGGGGTGTGAGGGATACTGGGATCAGTGGTGGTGGAGAATGGGCACTGGTGGAGGGATGGGTATTCGAACATTATATAATTGAAACCCAAGCACAAAAATTTGTAAGTCTACAACTGTACCTCATGGTGTTTCACTAATAAAAATTTAAGGAAAAAAAATACAGGCCTTTCCAGCAATGCTTAAGGACCCAGGGACCCAGCCTGGTGGTGCTTGGAGCACCTTAAATTGCTAGGATCAAAATTCAGGGCCGCAGTCACTTACCTTGCACGCAGTTGACCCAGATTCTATCCCTGGCACTCTATATGGTCCCCTAAGCCCCACTCAGGAGTGATCGCTGAGCACTGCTGGGTATGACCCATGCACCAAAAAAGAAAAAAAGAGAGAGAGAAAGCAAAAGCAAAGCTCCTGGAGCCCACTGTGGCCTGCCTCCGTTCCTAATTTAGTGGTCAAGCAAAGCTGGGATGAGGCTGGCTCCAACCCCCATTGGCTGGGCCGCTTTGTTTTGCCCTGTTTGACTGTTTTTTCCTTAAAGCAATCCAGAAGCCAGACAGCGTCACTTAGGAGACAGGACTGTTTTCAGGTTGCACCTTCTGGGTTTCTGTTTTGGTTTATTTTGTTGGTTTGTTGGTTTGGGGGCCACACCCAGCACTGCTTAGGGGTTACTCCTGGCTGTGAGCTCAGGGATCACTTCTGGTGGTGTCCTGGGGGGACCACACGAGATGCCGGGAACCTGAATTAAACGCCTTCCCTGCTGTACTACGTGCCAGCCTCACTTTCTGGGTTTAAATCCTGCTCCCCCGTTGGACCAGGTATGCGACCTTCCGCGAGATTTTCAGCCGTCTGGATTCCATTTTCCGTCCTTCATAACTGCAGGGGCGGGAGCTGCAGGCAGGAACAGGCCCTGCAGGGCTCGGAAATGCCCTTTCCCCCAGAAGCCAGCTCATCTCGAGAAAAGTGTCTCTCTTGCACCCACGACGTTAAAGTTCCCATCACGGAAATAAAAAGTCCTTGAGTCACCACATGTCCCAATGGCACCTCTGTACTGGCCTCCTGGGGGGAGGGAGGACTTCCAGAGCCAGCAGAGAACAGGGGAGCAGAAGGTTGGCTCTGAGTACCCCCCAGTGCAGAGCCAGGCGGGGCTGTGGCGTGCGCAAGCCCAGGCAGCTCGGCAGCCGGGCCTCTGGGTGACGCTGATGCTGGAGTGTCACTTGGCCCTTGGCAAACCAGAGATGGTCATGATCAGACCAGCGTCTGGAACTCATTATCCACCTTCCTGCCAAATGGACCAACCCAGACTGGTTGCCTCTGAGGCTCCTGCCCGCAACAGCTTTTCCCACCGTGGGTTCCGCCTGCCTAGCCCAATTCAAATGCCACTTCCTCCACGAGGCCCTCCCTGAGTTCTCCCTTTCCATGTTTTCCAAAAGTAGATCGCAGACTGGAGAGAGGGTTCAGATGAAGGTGCTAGTTTGATCCCTGGCACTGCATAGGGTCTCACAGTTCTGGCAGGAATGATCGCTGAGCACAAAGCCAGGAGTCAGTCCTTTGCACTGCTGGGCGTGGCTCCACAAAACAAAATGAAACAGACGATAGTACAGTGGGTAGGATGTTTGCCTTGCACGTGGCTGATCCAGGCTCAATCCCCGGCATCCCATATGGTCCCCTGAGAAGTGCCAGGAGTAATTCCTGAGTGTAGAGCCAGGAGGAACCCCTGAGCATCACTGAGTGTGACCCAAAGTGCAAAAAAACACCCAAAAAACTAATAACAAAATGAAACAGAAAGTGGTTGCGTCTCTTGTTTTCCTTCTTCCTCCCCATGTGCTTGCTATGACGTGGTGGAGGTGTGGGGCGCGCACACACACACACACACACACACACACACACAAACACACACACTTCAATGCCGTGTTTGCCTGGTTTTGTTTTGGGGTCACAGCTGGCTATGCTCAGGGCTTACCCTTGGCTCTGCACTGTCAGGCTTGGGAAACCCTTTGAGGTGCCAGGGATGGAACCCCAGTCGGCTGAGCACAAGGCCAATGCCCTCTCCACTGGGCTGTCGCTCCAGCCCGCTTGACTGCATAACACTGCCCTTTGCAGTGGTGCCAGGGAGTCGCAGGGGCTCAGCCACACTCAGTTCTGGTGATCATATACTTTGTGCCCACATGCTCATACTCGGTCTGGGGTGCAGGTCAGCCCCAGGGATGAAACTCATGGTCTGATGCCCACAGGGAAGGTGGCCTGGCTGCTTCTTGGGTCCCCGCTTGGCCACTGTTCTTTAGTTCGTGGCGTTGTTTCGGGTCTGTTTGACTTTTATTTGTGATGCTGGGGAATTGGGGGCGCATCAATGCATTATTTATTTGGCAGGAGGGGGGTCACACCTGGTGGTGTAGGGGCTACTCCTGGCTCTGTGCGAGGTTGGCGGGGGTGGGCTTCAGTGGGGACCATGAAGCAATCTGGGGACCAAGCAATGGCGGGGACAGAACCAAGGCTGCTGCCTGCAAGGAGAGTCCATCTCCCTGACACAGTCTGCCGTTACTTTGAAAAGGGGTTGACAGACGTGCCTGGCTTTGCCAGGGCCTCTGGCTTGGTGAGAGAACATGTGCTCCTCTGGATGAATCATTTCTGCTCGCCCCTTCATTCCTTCCATTTGTAATCTTTAATATTTAGAATTTAATCTTTAAATTTAGAAAATCTTGGGGCTGGGGCGATAGCACAGCGGATAGGCATTTGCCTTGCATGCGGCCGACCCGGGTTCGATTCCCAGCATCCCATATGGTCCCCTGAGCACCGCCAAGAGTGATTCCTGAATGCATGAGCCAGGAGGAACCCCTGTGCATCGCCAGGTGTGACCCAAAAAGCAAAAAAAAAATAGAAAATCTTTAATTTTAGAATTATCAGAAATTCCAAAAAGACTGTGAGATAAATTGGAATCTGGAACAGCTCCCACCTAATTTCTCTTTGGTGGATGCTTCTGGTGCTACCTCTGGCGCTCAGAGTTCAGGCTAGAACCTAGTGGTGCTGGTGGGGATGGGAACATGCAGTGTCAGGGATCAAACCCAGGGCCTTGTCACTTATACTGAACACTTCCCTCTGCACTATGGGATATAGCCCCGTTCTCCATCAGGGCTGTGAGCTGCAGCTGAGGGTGACCACGTCCCAGCATCTTTCCTGCAGCTAACTCCCTTCCCAACGTCACGAATCACTCCGTGTCCTGGTCTAGATTTCTGACTGAAGTCCATTTGTTTATTTATTTATTTATTTATTGCTTTTTGGATCACACCCAGCGATGCATAGGGGTTACTCCTGGCTCTGCACTCAGGAATTACTCCTGGCAGTACTCGGGGGACCATATGGGATGCTGGGAATCGAAATCGAACCAGGGTTGGCTGCATGCAAGGCAAATACCCTACCCGCTGTGCTATCACTCCAGCCCCAACGATTTATTTATTTTTTAATTGGTATTCTTGTTGGGCTTGGGTACTCAGGACTTAGTCCTGGCTCTGTGCTCAAGGATCAGCCCTGGTGGGCTCGGGAACCATATGAGGTGCCGGGGATCGAACTCCAGTGGGCTGCACGCAAGGCAAGTGCCCTCCCGGCTGTACTCTAGATCTGGGCCCTGCAGAGGATTTTAACAATTATTGTCATTCATTTTGTCGTGTCTGGGAATGGAACCGGCATTGACTGTGCGCTTGCGGTTATGCCCACTCCCTGCACTGTTGGGCGGTGAAAGGTCCCAAGACTGCGGTGTTATTTAGGACCAAAGGCCCCTTGAAGCTGCTTTGTTGCAAAGTCTTTGGGGCCACACCTGATTGTGCTCATGGCTTATTCCTGGTTTTGTGCTCAGGGTTCACTCCTGGCAGGGCTCTGCCCAGTGCAAGGCCAGCACCCTCCCTGCTGTGTTATCTCACCGGCCCAGGTATATAAGTTTCCAATGAACAAATGTCTCAAATTGGATGCCCCCACCCAGTTCCAAGTCCACTAGAGGTGCTCGTGTCAACTGAACCCCTGAGAGGGGCCGGAGCCATCATACGGGGTGCTCGCTCTGCATGCGATGAACTGAGGTTCTATCCCTGGCATCTCATACAGCGCCCTGAACTCTGCTGGGAGTGACTCCTGAGTGCAGAGCTAGGAGTAACCCCTGAGCATCACCGGGTGTGGCAAAAACAAAATAAAACAACCTAGACAGAAGACTCAAAGGCCGACAATTTCCCATTTCTGTTTACAGTATCCCAAGTTCCCCAGCATAAACAGAGCGGCTAAGAACCAAGATCCGGAGCCGTACACACTTCTGGAAACTTCTCGAAGCGCAGGGACTTTGCCAAAGAAGGGAGGGGTTTGGAGGCTTCCAATCTCCCCCACCTCCCTCCAGGTCTGCCAAGAAGCCGGGATGGGAGCTGTGGGCGGGGCGGGGCGGGGCGGGGCGCGGAGGGGTGAACTCCTGCAGTCCCCTTCCCTTTCCGCGCGCCCCCTCTCTGCTGCGCCCTGCCCGCGGCCGCCCCGTGGGAGTCCAAAGGGGCCCACGAGCCTCTCCAGTCTGGGTGGGGACCGCATGCCCGGAACTGGGGAACTGGCAGGCGGGCCTGCGGCGTGAAGGGGGCGGTCTGAGCCGGGGCCGGACCCTTGGCCTCCCTCCCAGGGGGCGGCGCCGCGGCGCGCACGGTCGGGTCCCTCCCCGGCGGGAGCAGAACAGGCGGTTCCCGCCCGCGAAGCCATGGACGGCAGCGGCCCCTTCGGCTGCCCCATCTGCCTGGAGCCGCTCCGGGAGCCGGTGACGCTGCCCTGCGGCCACAACTTCTGCCTGGCCTGCCTGGGCGCGCTCTGGCCTCACCGAGGCTCCGGGGGCGCGGGCGGGCCCGGGGGCGCGGCCCGCTGCCCTCTGTGCCAGGAGCCCTTCCCGGACGGCCTGCAACTCCGCAAGAACCACACGCTGTCCGAGCTGCTGCAGCTGCGCCAGGGCTCGGGCTCGGGCTCGGCCCCGGCGCCCGAGCCCGCGGCACCCAGCGCGCCGCCCAGCGCCCCCGAGCCGTCGGCGCCCTGCGCGCCCGAGCAGTGGCCCGCGGCCGAAGAGCCGGTGCGCTGCGACGCGTGTCCAGAGGGCGCCGCCCTGCCCGCCGCGCTCTCCTGCCTGTCCTGCCTCGCCTCCTTCTGCCCCGCGCACCTGGCGCCCCACGAGCGCAGCCCCGGGCTGCGCGGACACCGCCTGGTGCCCCCGCTGCGGCGGCTGGAGGAGAGCCTCTGTCCGCGCCACCTGCGCCCGCTCGAGCGCTACTGCCGCGCCGAGCGTCTGTGCCTGTGCGAGGTCTGCGCCGCCCAGGAGCACCGCGGCCACGAGCTCGTGTCGCTGGAGCAGGAGCGCGCGCTGCAGGAGGTGGGCGCGGGCGCCGCGGGCCGGGCTGGGGGCTGGATGGGGGATCCGCGGCCTGGGGCAGACCCGGCCCTCCCCGGGGTGAGCCTGGATCGGCTCTGGCCGCCTCCCGCGTGGACACGCCGGGATCCTCCTCTGGCGAGCGGAACGGGGCTCGGGGTGCAGTGGCCGAGCGAGGATGGGCCGGGCCATGGAGAAGGCCGACCTGACGCGGGAGGACTGGCTCAGGGGACGGGAGGTGCTGAGTGCGGCCCCTTTCCCCGGAGGCGGGTCCGCGCTGCGCGCTGATGCGCCCGGCCCGGCTCCCAAGCCAAGAGTCCAGCTCAGATTTGCCGGCGCGAAGCTGCGGGTTGGGACGGGCGCGGCCCGGCGGGCGCGGGCAGAGGGTGGACCCCGGCACACAGCGCGCTCTGTCCAGCCGTTCCGGTGGCGGTGGGAGCCGGAGCAGAGGCCCGCTACCTCCGCCCCCAGTTTCCTTTGGCCTCAGGCCTAGTCTTGGCGCCTCTGGCCTTGGGATTTTCCGCCCCTCCAGCCTGGAGCTGTGACTCATCAGCCCCAGGGGACTTGCCCAGAATCCCCATTTTCCTGGCCTGGGTTGGGGGGCACAGACTCTTTGGGGTCAGTGAACAGCACCCCTCACTTCTCTGCCTCCTCCCCAGCGCGGGGAAGTGACTAAGGAATGTGCGAGCAGCACCCAGGGTGACCTGTCGCTGCCGGCCACTCACAGAGGGAGGGACAGTGCGACAGTGCGTGGACACCTCTGGGAGGTCACAGGCAGGGACACCCAGGCAGAACCCAGGGCAGCCCTGGGGAGTCCTGGGGCTCCCGTCTGGGTGCTCATGGTCGTGTGTCCTCACAGGCGGAGCAGCCCAAAGTACTGAGTGCTGCAGATGACCGCATGGACGAGCTGGGCGCGGGCATCGCCCAGGCCCGCCGCACGGTGGCCCTCATCAAGGTGAGCCCCAGCAGCCTCCTCCTGGCAGCTCCAGGGAGCCTGTGCCAGGTCCAACACCTCTGCACAGAGCATGAGTGTGTGCTCCCCCACCCCACCCTTACCCCACCCCCCAGCTGGATACAATGTGGGATGGAGGGGACCGAGATTGTGGCGCTCAGTACACAGCTGACTGGGCTTGGATCGGACACCCCAGATGGTCTCTGGACCCCAGCCAGGAGGGACCCTTGAGCACAGCGCCAGGAGTAAGCCCCGAGGCACTGGGGGTGAACCCCCCAAAAAAGAGAGTGCCATTTCCCTGTGTCCCTGCAGAGCGCAGCCACAGCGGAGCGGGAGCGGGTGAGCCGGCTGTTTGGCGAGGCCTTGGCCACCCTGCACAGGTTCCAGACTGAGGTGCTGGGCTTCATCGAAGACGGGGAGACGTCCATGCTGGGCCGCTCCCAGGGCGACCTGCGTCAGCAAGAGGAGCAGCGCAGCCGGCTGAGCCGAGCCCGCCACAGCCTCAGCCAGGTCCCCGAGGCAGACTCGGTTGGCTTCCTGCAGGTGTGCGCGGGCCCAAGAAGGGGGGGGGGGGGGAGGCGCTGGCCCCAGGAGGCGCTGTTGGGGCCCCCAGGCAGCTCACCGTATCTGTGGCACAGGAGCTCCTGGCCCTCAGGCTGGCCCTGGAAGAGGGGTGTAGCCCCGGGCCTGGCCCGCCCAAGGAACTCAGCTTCACCAAGTCATCGCAGGCGGTGCGGACCGTGAGAGATGTGCTGGCCGCCGCCTGTGCCAGCCAGTGGGAGCAGCTGCGGGGGCTGGGCAGCGAGGAGGATGGGCTGCAGAAGCTGGGCATGGAAGGTGGGTGTTCCCCCCAGTGACTCAACAGCCCCTATGTGCCCACACCAGCCCCCAGGCCTGGTGCCCTTTGAGAAGGATGGAAACTGTTGTCAGGCCCTGGAGAGGCGGGTGGTGCCCAAATCCTTCCCCTAACCGACCCAGCCCCCTTGTCTCCTGGTGGACCTACAGCGGGCAGAGGCCCAGGGAGCCGCATGCAGGGGCACCCAGGGGCCACTTAGGGGCACAGCTGCCCCCAGAAAACTGGGATCCTGGGGGTCAGGGAGTCATCAACGGGGTGCTTTGCACAGCAACGCAGCACGGGCCCCTGAGGGAACCCCTGGCCCATGGTCTCCTCTGCAGCAGATGGCGAGTCTCAGGACCCGGATAGCACGGACCAGCTGGAGAACGAGGCTTCCAGGGATTATTTTCTCAAGTGTAAGTGGACCCCTGGACTGTCCCCTCTGCTCCCCGGGGTTCCCCCTAAGGCCATTCCCCCCCATCCTCTATGCGCTCCCGTGGGGCGGGGCCGTGCGTGCAGTGGGGGCGGGGCCGGAACTAAAGCCCCGCCCCCTCCCTCCCGCTGGGCAGTCGCCTACATCGTAGACCTGGACAGCGACACGGCCGACAAGTTCCTGCAGCTGTTCGGTACCAAGGGCGTCAAGAGGGTGCTGTGCCCCATCAACTACCCCGAGTCGCCCACCCGCTTCACCCACTGCGAGCAGGTGCTGGGCGAGGGCGCCCTGGACCGCGGCTCCTACTACTGGGAGGTGGAGATCATCGAGGGCTGGGTCAGCGTGGGCGTGATGGCCGAGGACTTCTCCCCGCAAGAGCCCTACGACCGCGGGCGCCTGGGCCGCAACGCGCACTCGTGCTGCCTGCAGTGGAACGGCCGCGCCTTCTCCGTGTGGTTCCACGGGCTGGAGGCCGTGCTGCCGCAGCCCTTCTCGCCCACCGTGGGCGTGTGCCTGGAGTACGCCGAGCGCACGCTGGCCTTCTACGCCGTGCGCGACGGCAAGATGCACCTGCTGCGTCGGCTGCGGGCCTCGCGCGCGCGCAGGGGCGCCCCCGCCTCCCCCGGGGACCCCTTCCAGAGCCGCCTGGACAGCCACTTCGGGGGGCTCTTCACCCGCAGGCTGAAGCCTGCCTTCTTCCTGGAGAGCGTGGACGCCCACCTGCAGATCGGGCCTCTCAAGAAGTCCTGCATATCGGTGCTCAAGAGGAGGTGATGGCTGGGTGGGTGGGGGCGTCCTGGGCGCCCCAGAAGCTCGCTGCTCTGCACCCCAGCCTCCTCCCCCGGACAGAGTAGAGCCTCGGGGCCCCACACCTCCGCAGCCTGCTCCTTGCCCCAGGTCTCTGCCTCTCAGACTGTTCACCTTAAGGAGTGGGGAATCGCCTCCGACCCGGACCCTATGCCCAGCAGGGAGAAGGGACACACCCTCGCTGCTCCAACCTCCCTTGTCCAGGGACAGTGCCTGGCACGCAGTAGGTGCTCAATAAAGATTTATTAGATGAACGAAGGCCTCCTTCTCTCCTCCCACCCACGAGAGCGCTCAGCCCTTCTCTTCCCCGGGAGCTGGGAGCTGATCTTTGGGGGCAGGCAGAACAGGCAGGATGTGGGTGCCTGCCCTCTGCACCCCCCCATCTTGCAGGTTCTGACCAAGTCCAGCCCACACTGTTTCTGGAAGCCATAAGCCTTGCTTGGGGTGGGCTGGCTCACATCAGTTTTCTTTTTTTAGGGGAGGGGGCACACCCAGCAGTGCTCAGGACACCCAGCTTACTTACTTCTGGCTTTGCGCTTAGGGATCTGGAGACCGTGGTGCTGAGGGCACGGTCGGCTGCGCGCAAGGGAAGTGCCCTATCTGCTGTTCTATTGCTCCAGCCCTAACACATCAGTTATTTATATAAATTTGGGGGTCCAGAGAGATAGTACAGCAGGTAGCCTATTTGCCCTGCCCACGGCCTACCCGGGTTTGATCCCTGGCATCCCATATGGCTCCCTGAGCACTGCCAGGAGTAATTCCTGAGTACAGAGCCAAGAGTAACCCCTGAGTGACCCAAAAAGCAAAAAGAATTCTGGAACTCAGGAATCACTCTTGGCAGTGGGCAGTGTTCAGGGGACCACATGGGATGGCGAGGATTGGACCCAAGTTGGCTGTGTGCAAGGCAAACACACTCCCCGCTGTACTGTTGCTCTGGCCCCCACATCAGTTACTTGATCACTTGACATCTCCTTACTCATGGATTTGCTTGAGCGGGCGCCAGTAACATCTCCATTCATCCCAGTCGCGTGCTAGTGTAGCCCAATGGCATCTGCTCACTCCAGGAACACAAAGAGCCTCAAACCGATCGTTCAGGGTCTTGACCAAGAAGTCTGACCATCTCATAGGTGGGCGGCCACGCTATCTTTTGACGTCCCATGGAATCCAGTCAGTAACGGCTCTAGTCCAGCGGTCGTCTCCAAATCGCATTACGTGTCCAGCCCATCTGATTTTTGATGCCTTGGCAAATGAGACAGCGTCCCTGATTCTTGATCGTCAACGGAGGTCGGAACTCCGGATTCTTTCTCTCACTTGAGTGAAGCGTGATACTCCAAGCAGAGCTATGCATCAGTTACTTAATTTTTTTCCCCCTTATCGGTTTTTTGTTTGTTTTCGAGCTACACTTGGTGGTGCTCAAGGCTTTCTTCCGGCTCTGCATGCAGGGATCACTCCTGTCTGGGGACCATATATAGTATCAAGGATTAAACCCAGGCTATGTGCAAGGGAAGCACCCTACCCACGGTGCTATCACTCTAGCCCTATTTATTTATTGGTTTTAGGCCCCATTGGCAATGCCCAGGGCTGGCTTCTGGCTGTGCTCAGGGATCACTGCAGGCAGTGCTCTGGGAACATGATGCTGTGCCAGGGACTGAACCCTAAGCACTTTACCGTCTGTATTCTCTCTCCTGGCCTTACTGTTTGTTTCATTTGTTCATTCATTCATCTTGGTTTGGGGCCACACCCAGCGGCTTCCTCCAGGCTCTGCACTCATCTTACTGGGCTGGGGGACCCTATGGGGTGCCAGGGACCAGGTGCCAGGCAAAAGACAAAACACCCTCCCCTCTGTGCTGTGGCTCCGGCCCGCGGGGATTTTATCTTCAATGCTACGGTCACTGTGGGGCCCACCTCTGGGTGTCCACAAGCGAACAGTGTCTATGGTTCCCCCACAGACAAGGCCTGGCTCTGGGCTGGGGCAGGACAGAGTGAGACGGAGAGCTTCTTACACGCTCATCCTGGGAAGTGGTTGCCCCCAACCCAGGCCCAAGCCTGGGCAGCTGAAACAATGGACAGCTCTGTCCTGGGAGGCTTCTGGCCTCTCTCCCGGCCAAGGGGGGACGGGGCCCCAGGATGCCGGCCTGCAGGGGGAAGGGGCCGTCTCTGTCCAGGCCAGGCCCCCTCCTGCTTCTCTGAGGCCCAGATGCGCCCCAGAGAGGGGCGGCACCCTGTGGCGTGTGGGGGAGGGGCAGCCTGGGACCCAGGTTGGACAGGACAATGCCGGGGTTATGCAGTCAGACAGGGGAGGCCTTACTGGCCATACAAGTCCTGCCCTGGCGCCCTCCAGGCTAAAAATAGCCCCTCCTCAGGAGCCCCGTTGCCTGGCAGCTGGGATGTTGTTTTTCCGGGCGGGGTATCTGCCTCTGGGGCGCTGTTCTCCCCACAGTCCCGAGAGTCCGGCCAAGCTGGTGGCTGCTCTCCTTGCTGGCCCCCTCATCCACCTGGCGACTCCCCTGTCCCAGAGTTTCTCTCCTTCCCACGCTCTCTCCCCAGGCAGAGAAGCTAGGGGTCCCCCGCCCAGCACACACACACACACACACACACACACACACACACACACATGCACGCGCGTGCCTGCCACTGGTCAGGGCTCAAGGCCTGGCATGGGCAGGGCTTCCTGGCAGGAAGTCAGGCCTGATTTGTCAAGTCCTCAGCACCCAGACACTGGCAGGACCATCGCCAGCTTCCAGAACCTTCCATGTGAGGCTGTGCACCCAATTCCAAAGTTCTACGCTTCCACCTTCCAGGCTCAGAGCGGGCACGGGCTCCGGCACAGCGGAGGGAGTGCATGTGTCAGGTGCTGGGGGGAGGGGGGCCTCCCCAGCTGATATGTTCTTCGCCTCCCTCCCTGCCTATACTTGGTGACCCTGGGACAGGAGAAGAACATGACAAGACATTGTGTGTCTCTGCGTGGTCCGGGCCTTGTACATGTGTAGCTGGTGAGAAAATTGACCCTGTAGGGGCCTGAGCAATAGGGCCCTTGCCTGGCATGTGCCCTCCCCAGTTCTATCCCTAGCATGCCACAGGGTCCCCTGAACACTGCCAGGAATGATCCCTGAGCACAGAGCCCAGATGGAGTCCTGAGCACAGCCAGGTGGGGCCCAAAATCAAAAAGCTAAATAAGTCCTCAATGAGGCTGGAGAGATAGCACAACGGGTAGGGCGCTTGCCTTGCACGCAGCCGACCTGGGTTCGATTCCCAGCATCCCATATGCTCCCCTGAGCACCACTAGGAGTAACTCCTGAGTGCAGAGCCAAGAGTAACCCCTGTGCATCGCCAGGTGTGACCCAAAAAGCAAAAATAAATAAATAAATATAAATAAATAAACAAGTCCTCAAAACCTTGGAACTGTGGAACGAACAGCTACAGCTTTCGTTACAGCGAGTCTCTTTCTCAGGGCCCCAGTGAGCCAGGTGTGTAAATTGGACATCTGAGTACTTCAGGACCCCAGATTTGATCTCCAGCACTGCCTGGGTCCCCCTGAGAATGCGGAGTGTGGCCCCCCAAAAAAATCCAAAACTGAGAAATGAGGCTGGAGCAGTAGCACAGGGAAGGGCGCTCGCCTTCGTGCACCCGAAGAGGGCTCAGTCCTGGCATCACAACCCCCCAAGATGGGGTAGGCACTCGCCCTCAGGCGCCCGAAGCAGGCCCAGTCCTGGCATCAGAGCCCCCCGAGGCCCTCCAGGAGTGATCCCTGAGCTCATAGCCAGGAGGAAGCCCTGAGCACCCCTGGGTGTGCCCACCCTCCAAGAAAAGTCAGAAAACTAATCTTTTGGGGGAAGGGTAGGATGTCAAACCCAATGGTGGTCAGGGCTCACTCCTGTGGGCTCAGGGGACCATATGAGGCGCCAGAGATTGAGCCCAGGTCAGCCACATGCAAGGCAAGTGCCCTACCCTCTGGAGTGTCACTCCAGCCCCAAGCCACCAATTTTGCCCCAAAACCCTCCTACAACTACAGTGTTCAGACAAGGAAACTGAGGCACACAGGAGGGCAGGAACTGCCATGACTCACCCTGTGCAGGGACAGTGGCCTGTGCTCAGGAAGGTGGGAAAACACACATTCACTGTCACACTCACACACATCACACTTACACAGACACGCACACACTCATCCACACATATAAGCTCATACACTCACATTTTTGATCACACTTATGCACACTCACACACACTCACACTAAAGCACACATACAAACCCTCATTCACACGCACAATCCACACACACACATGCATAGTCATCTACATGTGCATGCGTGTTTATGCCCATGCAAACTTTCCCAGACAATCACACACACACACACACACATTCTCCCATTGCGCCAGACACACCTACAGATGTTCATACATAACATCTGTATGTTCATACTAGACATACCTACAGATGTCACATACACATGGACACACAATACACTCACACACATTCACACAATGCACCGAATCCCACATTCGCATGTACACACTCAGTACATACACACCACCCACTTCCCACTGCTCGGCTGAGTTTGGTTTCAGCAGGGGGCCCCCAGCCCCCTCAGCCCTGCAGACGCACATAATGGGCTGGAGAGAGACGGTGACAGGGTCTGGCTCCTGGGCCGGGCACGCTGCCAGTCTCCTCTGGTGCTTTGTTTTCTGTGGGAAAATGCGCTGAGTGCCCAAACAAGGGCCCGCAGTGGATTTGCCCCCTCCCCTGCCTTTCCTCTTCCTCCTGCACCCCCTCCTCAGCAGGCCTGACTGAAGCCCGGGCAACAGGGCGAGGCTGGACCCAGACTGTGGCTGAACCCCAGGGCTTGGCAGGGAAGACAGGGAAGCCCTGGGAGGGGCAGAGGCTGCAGCTGGCCTGGAGGAGGTGGCCTTTGTTGTGTCCTCAAGGAGGAAAATAGCTTTTGGTTACTGGGTTTGCGCCTGTTCCAGCCCCCTCCCACTTGCGGTCACTCCCCGTGCACAAGGTCAGCACCTGCAGGTGTGGAACAGCAGAAAGCTGCGGGGGTGGGGGTTGTGGGGGGCCGTGGAGGGTTCAGTCTCCTTCCCCCTCACCTCAGGAGGTGGGAGCCCCTCTGCAGAGCTCCGGTAACCTCCTGTGAGGCCGTGTGTGTCCTTTATCTTGAAATGCTTTTTGAATTCCGAATTGTGCTCATAAGAGTTTTGATGGTTTTGGATAGTGAACGGTGTTTCTCGTACTG